TTAAAAAAAACTGAAAAATTAAAAGAAGAAGATTATTAGAACAAAAACAAAACAGTTGTCTTATCAGTTCATTGCTTTTTTTTTGTTTACTTTTTATAGTTTCAATTTATATTTATTCTTTCATTTAATTTTTTTCTTATTTTTTAATATTGAAATAAATGAATAAAAATATTAAATTTGCAGTAAGAGTATTAAAATTAACAATAAAGTGTATTTCAAATAAAGAAAAAAGAAAGAGAAGAAAGTTTTTTGTATCAAATAAGTTTGTTTATTTAATTTTTTAAAAATTTTATATTTTGAAACTTTGAGAATAGTTTCAAATAATTTCTTTCTAATTTTAGTTTAGTTTTGTTTTTTTTGTATATTAATTTCTAATGATTTTGAAAGAAGAACTTCTTTTTAATTTATGTGTGACTCAAGTGAAGACCAACAATTTTTAGAATTAAATAATTTTCTTGAATCAGATGAAACAAAAACGTCAAAACAAATTCCATTAGAACCACCTCAGTCATTAGTTGATACTCGAATTGATCAACATGAAGAAGAAACTAAAAAAGAAAAGCGTATTAATGAAATTAAAGAAGAAGAAGAAAAAAAAGAAGAAGGAATTTTAAAAGAAAAGAATGTTAATGAAAAAGCTGAAATATTTAACCAACCATGTCAACAACCATTAATAAATCCATTATTACATAATCCATTAATTAAACAAGAAATTTCTGAACATACTGATGAATTTACTGAACATGAAGAACCTCAAATTGGATTAATTATTTATGTGGCTAATCTTCATTTTGATATAACTGAAGAATTAATACATAAATACTTTGATCCATTTGGACCAATCATTGGTGTTGATATTGTTTATAAACCTCAAACAAATGAATGTCGTGGATTTGCTTTTATTAAATATCAAAAAACTGAAGATGGTAATAAAGCAATTGAAGCATTAAATGATAAAGAAATTCAAGAACTCACTAAAACTAAATTAACAGTAAAAGTAGCTACAAACCAACAAACTCATAAAAAGAAAGAATTAAGAAAAACTGTAGAACCTACAACAATCCTTCCTAAATATTCTCCTTCACAAATGTTTAATGATCCAATGATGATGTACCAACAATTTTTTTTACAACCAATGGCTGGTGCTCAACAACCAAACCAACCAGCAAATACACAAAAACCAATGTATAACCCTGGAATTCAAATGCCACAATATCAGCAAGGTTATATTGGTCCAATGGGATATTGGCCAGATGCTGTTTGTCGTCCACAAGAAAAACAAAAAGCAACATTATATATTGCTCATTTACCTCAAAATACTAATGAACTTTTCTTGTATAAGAATTTTGCAAAATTTGGTGCAATTGAACAATGCAATTGTTTATATGAACCAACAACAAAATTATGTAAAGGAGTTGGTTTTGTTACTTATATGGATTCTAGTGATGCATACAAAGCAATGCAAGCTATGAATAATAAAGTTTTTGATGGACAACCAATAAAAGTCAAATTTAAGAACCAAAAGTAGAGGATTAGACTTTGTTGAATTTTAAGAATTTTGATTTTTGATAAGATTTTTTTTTTGATGGTTTTAAGTAAAAGATTTAATATTTGATTAGTTTAATAAAGTGAAATGAAGGTGATTCTACTTAGTCAAACTTATCTCTTTTCTTTTACTCTTTATTATGAATTAATATTTAAACTTGTTAATTAAGAAGTAAATTCATTCATATGATCAGTGAAACTATTATTGCTCTTATTATTATTGGCTGTACTGCCAATAAAGAAAGAATTATTTATAAGGATGGTGTTTTTTCAAATGGATATCAAGCTAAAGAATCTACTGGATATATCTCTACTACTGCAGAATATCATGACCAAATTGTTATTTCAATTATATTATCAAAAAATAATTATATTAATTTTAAAACTAATTCAGTGACTGATTTATCTCCTTATAAATATCTTTCATTCGTTGTTTCTTGGGAACAAGAAGGAGTTAACCTTGGTCTTGCTGTTTCTATTGGAAATGATGACTCAATGAAACCAATTCAGGTAACTTCAGGAATGGCTGTTAATCGTCTTAACCGTGTGTATGTTGATATTTCTTCATTAACCGCTAATTCAACTAAAGATAGCCTTGTTAGAATTTTCAAAACAGATAAAACTGACTCAACAATTTACTTTAATGATATTAAATTTACTGAAGAAAAAGGAACAGAAGGAATTTATTCATTCTCAACTGACATGGATGAAACTGATGGAACTAAAACATGTTTCATTGTTTTATTTATTGCCCTACTATTTATGGCTTTATAAAAGCAATTTAACATATTAAATTCTAAAGAATTTAAAAGAACCTTTTTTGGTTTTTATTTTCTTCATTAAAATAATAATCAAAAACAAATATGACTATAAACTTCAATTCAACAAACAAAAACAGAAAAATAGAGGTCTTCAGAGACCATCTTCTATAATCTTCTTTTTACTTTTGATTTTCAATCATATGATGAAGAAGTTTATTTCTTTCGTCTCCTATTTTCTTTAGTTGTTCTACACGTTCTAATACCTCTTGAATTACTTGACTTTCTTCATCATCAATATCATCACTTTCTTCAAAATCTTGAGAAGAGTCTTCTTCTTCTAATCCTTCAGAGTCATCATGAATTTCATCTCTTAATGAACAAGTAACACCAAAATCATTTAAAGTAATTGGTTGTTCACAAGTTATTTGATCAGATGATAATTTTGAATGTCGTATTGGTGACGATTGTTGTTGATCATTATTTCCAAGACAAGATAGTGTTGCACTTGTTTGTTTAAGTTGATTTGTTGACGAGATAATATTATCAGTAGTTGATTTTTGAATTTTTTGTTGGTTTTGTTGTTGCATTTGTTCATCGAAAACAAAAACGTCTTGGTCAAGGAAAACAGGATTATCATAACGTGCATTCTCTTCTGAGTCTTCTTCTACCATTGGAGTATCCATTGGAGTAACAACCAATAAAGGAGAGTAAACTTGTTTTGGAGCAGGCATAGAAAAGGCACTAATAGGTGAATATCCATAAGAATTCTGCATAAATAAATTAGGACGAGTAGATAAAGGAACAGGCCTACAAGTAATAATCGTATTATCTGGTCTTTGTGTTGACATAGAGATGTTTTACTAAACTTTGAACTCACAAGTTACAAAAATCAAATGAAGCTTCTTCATTTGATGGAAGGTACGATTGGATTAATAGGTTTTTCTTTTTTCGTCTATTCTATTTCTAAAATATTCTACCTTTTTTTTTATTCTTTCTTTTTCTTATCATTCATCTTGTTATGTGAAGAGGTTTTTCAATAGAAAAAGATAAGAAATTTCACCGTTAAAACAAATACTTTTCTTTATTCAATCTTTTAATATTATAATGAAAAAAATTAACTTACTTTCTATTGATGAATTACAGTCCCCAAGAAGTCCCTCTTATAAAAAGTCTTATTTTTATTGGTTACACACAATTTATAACAAAAGCTTTAATGATAAAAAATTATTATCTCACTGTTTTTATTCAAAACAAAATAATCTTCTAACTAACATTAACGTATAAATGAGTTTTAACTTCAAATAAAAGCGGTCTTTATCATTATATCGAATTATCCTAATATGAGAAATTATGAATAAAAGAAAACAAATAGTATAGCTAATGAATAATAAGTTAAGTAAAGTAAATATTCATTTATATATTTCTTTCTTTGTTAAAAAGATAACAACCATTAAATAAAAAAATTTATTTATAAGAAAATTTCAACAGAAAATGATGGAGAAGAATAACAATTGAGAAAGAAATATTCGATTTTGAAGAGTGTTATATTCAAAAAGAAACAAAAATAAAATTCTACATTAAGGGTAAAGTTTTACAAAATTAGTACATTCAATAAATGAATTAATTCTTTAGTTTTATTATAATTTATGTGTCTATTAAAGAAAATATTTTTTAATACTTCAATAATAAATAAATTGAATAAATAATAATATTAATGAACTATTATAATTAATATATAATAGTTACTTATATTTAAACATTTAACATGTTAATTTAAAATGAAAAGTATAAAATTAAAGTCTCTTTATTATTATTTGTATAAACTTTATTTCTCTTATAAACCAAACACACTAACTAATTCAATTGCTTTGTTGTTAAACCAACACCAATTAAGCAGTCAATAAAAAATGAAAATTTCATATGAGATAAATGATGTTTTGAATGATGACCTGATGACTAGAGAGTGTTATATAATTATAATAATAAATAAACAATTAATTAAGTATTAAGAGAAATAGCTTCTATTCTTCCTGGCTCAGG